ACGGGAGTGATCGGAAAGGGCTGAGTGGCGATGACGGAGGAGTTGGAGGGGAGGGGAGTGACCGTCGACGGAGTGACGGAGGGAGTGACGTGAGTGACGTGAGGGGAGTGACGGGAGTGGCGTGACGTGACGGGAGGCGATGTGAACAGTGAGGTGAGTGAAGTGAGGACGGGAGGTGAAGTGACGTGAGGGAAGGGTTTGGGGGGGGTGGGCGGGGGGTTGGGGGGGGATTTTGAGTGATGAACATGAAGATACAAAAAGAGGGTTTTCTTCTCACTCCAACAGATAGATCTGATACACTTGGTAGTTTTGAAAGAAAAATAAAAATTGAAATTCAGGTACAACTAGAGCACTTCCCAAATTGTTATGGATTTTTTTAATATGGTTTAGTTTTGATTTGAGTTTGTATGCTAATCAAACAACATATCTATGCTTCTCATGGAACCTATTATTTAGAAAAGTGTATTTGCAGTTGCATGATCTGCTGTGAAGAAGAAGGCCGTTTGAAGGAGAAGCCTGTCTTCTGCAAAGCAGGTAAAGACTATTGGTCTTGTCCTTTAGTTTCCCCTAGGCTTCATCAGGAATGTGTTGTGTTGCCTCTGCATTAATTGTGTAAGCTTTACAATTTGATTCTCACCCACATGAGGCTAAACATGGTACTATAATGAAGTTAACTTCTGAAATTTCATATCATGAAAAAAGAACCTTAACTTCCCACTTTGAGCATGCAACCCATATTGGGATTTGGCAGATAGTCTCATAGCTGTATTTATTACTTGAAATCCAAAGCCATTAGTTGGAATATGCTATGTCTAATATTAGGTTAAGTTTGGTAATCTTTTTAAGCTCTTTTACTAATATTGCATTTGTCCATGTCTTTGGAATCTTAAACAGATTATTGCAGCAGGTCCTTTTACCACAACTGACAACTTGTTCTTTGAACCTCTAACTGAGCTGCTAGCATATGCACAAAGAAAGCAGCCTCAGTTGCTTTATTGGTAAGACCCACCATTTTTCATATCAATAATCTTGTAAATTGTAATCTGCATTGATAAATGACTGGAGAAGTTGGATTTTTTATGTTTGGCAGCTGGGACCATTTATTGATTCTGACATCCAGAGATTAAGAAAGGAGCAGTAAACAGGACCTTTGATGAAATTTTCGTCTTGAAATCCTTGGAAGGGTTCTATCTATCTACACTAGATAATTTTGCCTGTTTGAGAAGATTTTATCTTCTTTTTTTTTAATTTTTTTTCCCCAATGGTTTGCAGCTTCAAGATTATGTGGAATATAGGGTTCTGCTGCACGTGTGATTCTCGTGCCATCTATACGGGACGCAAATCATGACTTTGTTTCCCTCAGGAATTTATTGCTAAATTAATTTATATAGTATCTCTATTTTCCCAGTTAGTTAACAAAAAATTGAGATCATAATTAAGTGTTAATTTCTAGATTAATGTTGTTTGGCTTTGATTCTGCAGCCTGCTTTTGATATTCAGCAAGCCGATCTCAAACATCAGGTATGCATGATTCTACTAGACTAGGGGAAGCCCACCTTTGAACTGGTTGCTAGATCCAGATCATTTTTCAGTTTGCAGTCTCGCAAGTCACATTTTAAAGAAATTACATTGTCTTACTAGATAACCAGTCTTACAAATCCGGGGGTTTTCTTAAATTATTGATTGTTCGTACTTCTAGACATTAATTTCATGTTTGTGTGTGCTCCTCGAATTCTTCAAAATGCATTAATGAGATGAAATTTTTTTGCATTATATCAATCTCATGCACCACAAAAAACTTGAAACCGTACTTTTGGAGTAAAACACACTAATTAGCAGAATGCCCTAAACTTGAGATGAATACAATTTGGAAGAGCAACATGGAATTAGAAAGAATCTAGTTAAGGTTCTCCCAAGGAATATGTTTAATCTTATTATTTTAAATTCTAAACAATGGTTTGAAGCATTTTGAGTTAAAACACATTGTACAAGTCTCTTAATTAGTTTTTCAATCACATTTTGGGTTTTCAGATCAAGGTAGGTTGCTGCACTGTGGATATTCTAAACAACTTAGCGGAGAGAGATCTCACGGAATCCATCTGGGGGATCCAGAGCGCATGAATAGACTTGCAAATCATCTACTTAGCCAGCACAGGCATGTTTATTATTCTCTTAATGGAAATTTCTGTATTTGATATTTAAGAAGTTTAAACAATTGAAAGACGGTTACTTTTTGAAAACAGCTTCTGTCCTCTATACCCACCAATGGAAGATACTCCCGTGGATTTTCTCTCGCTCAGGGCTCTTCAGATCCCTGTAATCTAGATATACCTAATCCTATCCTCGACTTGGCTCATTTCGTGAAGGTAAATGATAGTTCTAGTTATATCAAAGTAATGATAGATATACGAAGCAGAATAGTTATATAGAATGATGTGTCAAAATGATATTCATTCATCTCAAATCAAAAGACTCATGAAAGTGACTTGTTATTTCAAAACTGCCATTGACACGCCATTCTAGTGGACTTTTTGTACATAATTCTGTTTGCAAATCAGTTTTTTTCTTATCTAGTTTAGAGCAGATTGGATTGTAATGAATGCAATTTAACTCTTCATTCCTATGCGGACAGGTGTTGTCAATTGGGGATAAAATGACGGAGAAGAGCAAGCGAAGTGCATTTGTGTTAATCCGGGAAGACTGGCTAGGGGCGAAGGAGCGGGTTTCTTCGTGGAGCTTAACTACGGGGGAAGCCCTGATTCAACCAGTGCTTCAGTTATAAGCATATGGACCTTAAACTACCGCGTGTGTAGTGATTCAACAAGTGCTTCAAAAAAAAAGTAAACCCAAACTTATAGAGCTTGCAGTTGCAGATGATATCAGTTTGTTTGGAAGCAAACTAGAGACCTATCATAGTGGACACCAAATTCTAATGGGGAGCTTAGCACCATGAGGACTGTTTAGGGAGTGCTGTCATGTAGTACTAGTTTCACATCAAATTAGGTGATGTTACTAACATGATGTTCTATTAATGTAATTATTATTGTCTTTCAAGGTGGCAATGATTTCGCTCTTTACCAACCAAAAAGAAGGGAAAAGGAAAAGAAAAGAAAAGTCGTTTTTGGTTGTGTTTTTTGTTTCTTTTATTTTTTGTTTTCATGTTTTAAGAAATACAAGCAATGAAAAGTTTTGAAATCATTTTTATTTTGCACGAAAATAATTGTTATTTTTGAAAAGGCAAATGCTAATGAGTGTCTTTGTGGCAAATTGTCTTGGAAATAGTTAAAAAATGTTTTAAAAATAATATATTTGAATTCAGCTAAATAAAAAAAGTGTTTTGATTTCAATAAGCCTCTTATTCCTTGTGTCTCATTAACACTTGTTTAGAATTCTTTTTCAAAAAATAGGTGTTTACAGAAAAAAAAAAAAAATTCCTTAAAACTAATTTTCAGGAATAGTTTGCCTAACAAATTTTTTTGTTTTGTTTTTTGTTTTTTTCTAAACTAATTATAAAATAAAAACATGAAATCATAATCAAATTTGGCAGTTGTAATCTAGTCATTATGAGGTAGGGGTGTTTTATTTTAATTTAATTGGTGGTTAAATTTGTGGTTAGTTTAGTTGCTCCACCATCCCCTTCCAATCCAAAAATAGGGAATATGCTGAAGAATATGATTGTATTACAAAGCTCTTATGAAAAAACATCTCTGTAAAAATTATCCTATCGTTTAAAAATTTATTAATTGTGTGCTTAATGAATAGTAAAATTAAATGAATATATGACCTTAAAATAAAAAATAATAATGAATAAATTATAAAAGATCATTGGATAGACATTAGACACATAAATATTCCTGATTTATTAGATAATTTCTCTACATAGTGGGTCTACCAATCGAATCCTCTCTGCATATCCAAAGCTGTCATCTTCATACACAACCACTAGCCTTTCGTCAATTTTTTTTTTTAATAAATTGATACTTTTAACACTGTTATCTTTCTTTTCTTTCCTTATTTCTTTGTTTTCACAATTAATTAGTGCCGTATCATTATTTATGATGACATTAATTATTTTGAGTCATTTTATGAAAAAAATAAATTATATATGTGTAGAAAAACATCTATATTATCTTTCCAAAGAGGAAGAGATAGGAACTTAAAACTCTAATTAGCCTTCGTTTGGCAACTTGGGTTGGTTGGTGATTATTTTAGTCACTAAAAGATAAAATATGTTTTTTAATCTAATAAGACAAAAATCACATCCAATCCATAATCATTATATTCTTCTTCACAAAAATTAAAAAAACCAAAAAGTCTATCTCAAATGGAGTTTTTAATCCCAGACTAAAATAATCAGAAGTTAAAAAGTCAAAAAATCAACCACTTCCCAAACAAACCCTTTAAGTGATTATTTGATAGTCTTGGAGTACTATTACATCCTGTTTATCACTTAAAACTTGTTAAATTGTTTTCCAAAATTCAAACAAAAAAGTATTGGGTTTCACTACTTAACAATAACAATCAAGTAGAGGCACCAGTAAATTTGCTCCGAGTCCACCATATAATTTTGAGATTTTTACCAGCTAATCCAATAATTGAATCTATTACTCATTAGGTCTAAAGTTTCTATTTCATACGCTAAGAAATCCTGTTATATTTTTTTATCTCGATTTTCCTGCTACCAGCTAGTAAAAACCCTATTTAAATCATACCCAAACACTCACTAAACTTAATTGTTTATAATATTTATTACCCATTAATTTTTTCAATTTGTATTAATTTCTCTCTTGATCATTTTTCCAAGACTCTTTTTCTTTCTCATCTCTCTCTCTCTCTCTAGAAGATACCACCATTGTAGTAATGGCCATGGCCATCCATCCAAACGCCATCGTCATTGTCACTAACCACCGCCACCTCCTAGGTCACTACCACCCCTTCACCAGCCACTACCACTACCATTGTCATCAACCCATTGCCACGCCGTCGCCGATCTGAAAATCGCATTAGAAAGCATGCAACAGCACTTGTTGCTTCTGGTCTGTTTGAGGAAGCAATTGACCCTACAGTTGCTTCACAGGTAATATAGTTGCTCCATTTCTACCTCTCTCTTATCCGCACACACTTGCAATCTTAAAAATGGAGAATTTACACTGTTTGGTGTGAGGAGTGGGAGAGAGCCTTTAAATGAGGGTAGTTTTGAAAGAAAATAAAAAATGGAAATTCAGGTACAACTAGAGCACTTCCCAAATTGTTATGGCATTTTTTTAATATGGTTTAGTTTTGATTTGAGTTTGTATGCTAATCAAACAACATATCTATGCTTCTCATGGAACCTATTATTTGAGAAAAGTGTATTTGCAGTTGGCATGATCTGCTGTGAAGAAGAAGGCCGTTTGAAGGAGAAGCATGTCTTTCTGCAAAGCAGGTAAAGACTATTGGTCTTGTCCTTTAGTTTCCCCCTAGGCATTCATCAGGAATGTTGTGTTGCCTCCTGCATTAATTGTGTAAGCTTTACAATTTTGATTCTCATCCCACATGAGGCTAAACATGGTACTATACATGAAGTTAACTTCTGAATTTCATATCATGAAAAAAGAACCTTAACTTCCCACTTTGAGCATGCAACCCATATTGGGATTTGGGCAGATAGTCTCATAGTTGTATTTATTACTTGAAATCCAAAGCCATTAGTTGGAATATGCTATGTCTAATATTAGGTTAAGTTTGGTAATCTTTTTAAGCTCTTTGTACTAATATTGCATTTGTCCATGTCTTTGGAATCTTAAACAGATTATTGCAGCAGGTCCTTTTACCACAACTGACAACTTGTTTTTTGAACCTCTAACTGAGCTGCTAGCATATGCACAAAGAAAGCAGCCTCAGTTGCTTTTATTGGTAAGACCCACCATTTTTCATATCAATAATCTTGTAAATTGTAATCTGCATTGATAAATGACTGGAGAAGTTGGATTTTTTATGTTTGGCAGCTGGGACCATTTATTGATTCTGCACATCCAGACATTAAGAAAGGAGCAGTAAACAGGACCTTTGATGAAATGTTTCGTCTTGAAATCCTTGGAAGGGTATCTATCTATCTACACTAGATAATTTTGCCTGTTTGAGAAGATTTTATCTTTCTTTTTTTTAAATTTTTTTTCCCCCAATGGTTTGCAGCTTCAAGATTATGTGGAATACATGGGTTCTGCTGCACGTGTGATTCTCGTGCCATCTATACGGGACGCAAATCATGACTTTGTTTTCCCTCAGGTAATTTATTGCTAAATTAATTTATATAGTATCTCTATTTTCCCAGTTAGTTAACAAAAAATTGAGATCATAATTAAGTGTTAATTTCTAGATTAATGTTGTTTGGCTTTGATTCTGCAGCCTGCTTTTGATATTCAGCAAGCCGATCTCAAACATCAGGTATGCATGATTCTACTAGACTAGGGGAAGCCCACCTTTGAACTGGTTGCTAGATCCAGATCATTTTTCAGTTTGCAGTCTCGCAAGTCACAATTTTAAAGAAATTACATTGTCTTACTAGATAACCAGTCTTACAAATCCGGGGGTTTTCTTAAATTATGATTGTTCGTACTTCTAGACATTAATTTCATGTTTGTGTGTGCTCCTCTGAATTCTTCAAAATGCATTGATGAGATGAAATTTTTTTGCATTATATCAATCTCATGCACCACAAAAAAGCTTGAAACCGTACTTTTGGAGTAAAAACACACTAATTAGCAGAATGCCCTAAACTTGAGATGAATACAATTTGGAAGAGCAACATGGAATTAGAAAGAATCTAGTTAAGGTTCTCCCAAGGGAATATGTTTAATCTTATTATTTTAAATTCTAAAACAATGGTTTGAAGCATTTTGAGTTAAAACACATTGTACAAGTCTCTAATTAGTTTTCAATCACATTTTGGGTTTTCAGATCAAGGTAGGTTGTTGCACTGTAGATGTTCTCAAACAACTTAGCAGAGAGGAGATCTCACGGAATCCATCTGGGGGATCCAAGCAGCGCATGAATAGACTTTCAAATCATCTACTTAGCCAGCACAGGCATGTTTTTATTATTCTCTTAATGGAAATTTCTGTATTTGATATTTAAGAAGTTTAAACAATTGAAAAGACGGTTACTTTTTGAAACACAGCTTCTGTCCTCTATACCCACCAATGGAAGATACTCCCGTGGATTTTTCTCTCGCTCCAGAGGCTCTTCAGATCCCTTGTAATCTAGATATACTAATCCTATCCTCAGACTTGGCTCATTTCGTGAAGGTAAATGATAGTTCTAGTTATATCAAAGTAATGATAGATATACGAAGCAGAATAGTTATATAGAATGATGTGTCAAAATGATATTCATTCATCTCAAATCAAAAGACTCATGAAAGTGACTTGTTATTTCAAAACTGCCATTGACACGCCATTCTAGTGGACTTTTTTGTACATAAATTCTGTTTGCAAATCAGTTTTTTTTCTTATCTAGTTTAGAGCAGATTGGATTGTATGAATGCAATTTAACTCTTCATCTCCTATGCGGACAGGTGTTGTCAATTGGGGATAAAAATGACGGAGAAGAGCAAGCGAAGTGCATTTGTGTTAATCCGGGAAGACTGGCTAGGGGCGAAGGAGCGGGTTTCTTCGTGGAGCTTAACTACGGGGGAAGCCCTGATTCAACCAGTGCTTCAGTTATAAGCATATGGACCTTAAACTACCGCGTGTAGTGATTCAACAAGTGCTTCAAAAAAAAAAGTAAACCCGAAACTTATAGAGCTTGCAGTTGCAGATGATATCAGTTTGTTTGGAAGCAAACTAGAGACCTATCATAGTGGACACCAAATTCTAATGGAGGAGCTTAGCACCATGAAGACTGTTTAGGGAGTGCTGTCATGTAGTACTAGTTTCACATCACAATTAAGGTGATGTTACTAACATGATGTTCTATTAATGTATTATTATTGTCTTTTCAAGATGGCAATGATTTCGCTCTTTACCAACCAAAAAAAGAAGGGAAAAGGAAAAGAAAAGAAAAGTCGTTTTTGGTTGTGTTTTTGTTTTCTTTTATTTTTGCTTTTCATGTTTTAAGAAATACAAGCAATGAAAAGTTTGACAATCATTTTTATTTTGCACGAAAATAATTGTTATTTTTGAAAAGGCAAATGCTAATGAATGTCTTTGTGGCAAATTGTCTTGGAAATAGTTAAAAAATGTTTAAAAAATAATATTTTGAATTCAGCTAAATAAAAAAAGTGTTTTGATTTCAATAAGCCTCTTATTCCTTGTGTCTCATTAACACTTGTTTAGAATTCTTTTTTCAAAAAATAGGTGTTTACAGAAAAAAAAAAAAAAATTCCTTAAAACTAATTTTCAGGAATAGTTTGCCTAACAAATTTTTTTTGTTTTTGTTTTTGTTTTTTTCTAAACTAATTATAAATAAAAACATGAAATCATAATCAAATTTGGCAGTTGTAATCTAGGTCATTATTGAGGTAGGGGTGTTTTATTTTAATTTAATTGGTGGTTAAATTTGTGGTTAGTTTAGTTGCTCCACCATCCGCCTTCCAATCCCAAAATAGGGAATATGCTGAAGAATATGATTTGTATTACAAAGCTCTTATGAAAAAACATCTCTGTAAAAACTATCCTATCGTTTAAAAATTTATATTAATTGTGTGCTTAATGAATAGTAAAAATTAAATGAATATATGACCTTAACAATAAAAAATAATAATGAATAAATTATAAAAGATCATTGGATAGACATTAGACACATAAATATTCTTGATTTATTAGATAATTTCTGCTACATAGTGGGTCTACCAATCGAATCCTCTCTGCATATTCCAAAGTTGTCATCCTTCATACACAACCACTAGCCTTTCGTCAATTTTATTTTTTAATAAATTGAATACTTTTAACACTGTTATCTTTCTTTTCTTTTCCTTATTTCTTTTTTTCACAATTAATTAGTGCCGTATCATTATTTATGATGAGCATTAATTATTTTGAGTCATTTTATGAAAAAAAATAAATTATAATGTGAGAAAACATCTATATTATCTTTCCAAAGAGGAAGAGATAGGAACTTAAAACTCTATTACGCCTTCGTTTGGCAACTTGGGTTGGGTTGGTGATTATTTTAGTCACTAAAAGATAAAATATGTTTTTTAATCTAATAAGACAAAACATCACATCCAATCCATAATCATTATATTCTTTCTCTCACAAAAATTAAAAAAACCAAAAAGTCTATCTCAAATGAGGTTTTTTAATCCCAGACTAAAATAATCAGGAAGTTAAAAAGTCAAAAAATCAACACACTTCCCAAACAAACCCTTTAAGTGATTATTTGATAGTCTTGGAGTACTATTACATACTGTTTATCACTTAAAACTTGTTAAATTGTTTTCCAAAATTCAAACAAAAAGTATTGGGTTTCACTACTTCAACCAATAACAATCAAGTAGAGGCACCGAGTAAATTTGCTCCGAGTCCACCATATAATTTTGAGATTTTTACCAGCTAATCCCAATAATTGAATCTATTACTCATTAGGTCTTAAGTTTCTATTTCATACGCTAAGAAATCCTGTTATATTTTTTTATCTCGATTTTGCCCTGCTACCAGCTAGTAAAAATCCCTATTTAAATCATCCCAAACACTCTCTAAATCTTTAATTGTTTATAATATTTATTACCCATTAATTTTTTCAATTTGTATTAATTTCTCTCTTGATCATTTTTCCAAGACTCTTTTTCTTTCTCATCTCTCTCTCTCTCTCTAGAAGATACCACCATTGTAGTAATGGCCATGACCATCCATCCATAACCGCCATCGTCATTAGTCACTAACCACCGCCACCTCCATAGGTCACTACCACCTCCTTCACCAGCCACTACCACTACCATTGTTCATCAACCATCTCCACCGTCGCCGATCTATACTTCACCATCTCTCAATCGTTTGACTTGCTCGCTTAACATTGTCGTCTTCCTTCCTCTTTGCCATTACCGTCGCTCTTCCTCCATCCTTCATCCTTCATCTGCCATCACCGTCATTCTTCTTTAATCATCGATTGACCATCTTCAACGTCAAACTTCACCAATGGCTTCAAATCTAGTTGTTTTCAATGTCAATCTACCATCTTCGGCGCCAATCTAGTACTGTACATAGTTGCCAATGAGATCGAGACTCTTTCTACAATGTGTTGGTCAAGATCTACATTTGTAAAACATTCTGAACTAATCTAATGAATTTATCACTTAATTCAGTGATAAATTTATCACTAATTTGTTTAATATGCTATGGGCTGTTGTTGTTGAAATTTTGATATTAATATAATGATAAATTTATCACTGATTTTTGTTCATGTTATATTTATCAACTTTCTCTTCCTCACTCCCTCTCTCTCTTTTTATTTCTCTTAAACCAAATTTGTTGTATTAGTGATAAAAGTATCACTGATATATTTTTTTGAATCGTGTGTTGATTTGTGACGATGATGATGAGGTTTTTTTTTTTTTGTAATCTTTTAACAAACAATTTTTTTTTTTTTTTTTTTTTTTTTTTTTTTTTTTTTTTTTTTTTTTTTTTTTTTTTTTTTAACAAACAACTAGTGAGAAATTTATCAATAAATGCGTTTATCACTGCGAAATTTATTACTGAATATGTCTTTGAATCTTGTGTTAATTTGTAATGATGATGATGAGAATTTCTTTTTGCGATTTTTTAACAAACAGTCAGTGATAAATTTATCATTTTTGTCACTAGAGAGAGATGAATATGTATTATGATTAATTTATCAGTAATAAATTTATCATTGATTTGTTCAATATGTTGTATATTGTTGCTGAATTTATCACTGATTTGTCATTGTAGATGTGAATATGTTGGATGGATCAATTTATCAGTGATAAATTTATCACTAGAAAGAGAACAAAGAGTAGACGGTAAAGGTATGGTTATGTTGATCTACAATACAAAGGCTAACAATTTTCTACTAAGGCCTTTCTTTTTCCTCTTCCTCTTCATCTTCTCTCTCTCTCACTCTCTCTCATTTTTTTTCTTCTTCTTTTTCTTTTTCTTCTCCTGTCGCCATCAGCTCTTAGGAGATAGTAACAGTAGTGAGTGCCAGAGTTTGCTGGAGGTGATCGTCAAAGGTTGTCGAAGGTTATCACCGGCGGTTAGAAGTACTTGTCGATGGCTAGAAATGGGAGGTGGTAGATGATAGGTCATTGCAGTGATCTGGTGATTGAGTTGTTGAAGAAGGTATAGGAAGGGTATTTTGGAGATATTAAGAGGTGAAAAAATGAGCCGGACTTATAGGTAAATAAATCTGGTCAATAGGACCGACCCGTAAGTCTCCCAAAATTAATGGCAAGAAAGCCCAATGGCTAGGCCTTTTGGCATTTGAGGAGCTCATTTGGCAAACAAGTATGCCACTACATCAGAAAGAGTTCACCTACTAGTTTACTAAAATTGGATAATTTTGTACCTATCTTGAAATTTTTTTACTACATCAGAAAGAGTTCACCTACTAGTTTACTAAAATTGGATAATTTTGTACCTATCTTGAAATTTTTTTACTATTACCTTCTAAATGTATATCAAGTAAGATACATATACTTTGTTTCAAAAATTGACAACTTCAATAAGAATTTATATAAATTTTACCACACCGATCTCTTGTCCTACTTCTCAATATTACACCCTCAATCAATGGTTCCTTTCTCTTACTCTGCAGATGATATTTCTTGGCAAGCAGAGTGAAGGCACACCATAATGATTCAACAAATAAACTATTGGCATGTAAATCTTTGAACTTCAAAGCTTACAAGATTTTATAAATAATTTCCAAAACTGCATAGTCCTAGTGAACAGTATAAGAACCAATCATATCTTTTAATCCTAAATGCTTATATAACAATAGAATAAACACCCATCAGTGTGTTTGGTTTCAGTTTTTTAAAAATTGAGTTTTTATTTTTCGTATTTTTTTTTGTTTTTAGTAAATATTTTTTTAATTTTAAGTAATTTTTTTACTTTTTTAAATGCACTTATTTATATGTATCTAAATAGTAAAATATTTGTGAAAAATATTTTTAAAAATTAATAAATACACAAAAATATGAAAATGTGTTGAATTTTCGTAATTTTTTTTTATTTTTTGGTATTTAGTGTATTTTTTAAATATTTTTTTCACAAATATTATAATTTTTAAGTGTATTTATGTTGGGTGTGTCTAAAAATTTTTATAAAAAATTTCTTAAAATATTAAACAAATTCATTGAAAATATTAAAATACAAAAAAATAAAAAAGTAGAATGTTTTAAAAATTATTTTCTGAAAACTGGAACCAAACAAGACGAATAATTTTCCTAACCATCATTCTGTTTGTTTAGATGGAGAATATTATCTGTGAAAATTTCATGCAAGGAAAACTAAAGTTTCAAGGATTTCTTTTTTTGGTAGGTAAGAGATTCAAAGATGATGAAAAAAACAAATTTCAGGAGTAATGCTAGGTATCATGAAAATGATCATGAAATATTCTTCACCGTTAGAACACATATACAAAAAAATACCACATACTAATCAAAAGGTGAAAAATCTTCATGAAGTATTTCATGATATTTTCTTCATGATCTCTAATATTATTCTTCAAACATATCTTTGCCCAACAAAAATTAAGAGACATTTAATCTCCCCAAACTCCATGGCAAAATATCTCTTTGCAAAAATTGGACCAGTTTTTC